TGTTCAGATCCTTGGCCCATTTGTTGATTGGGTTATTTGTTTTCTTATTGTTTAATTTTTTTGAGTTCTTTGTATACTCTGGAGATTAGGGCTGTATTTGAAGTGTGAGGGGTAAAAATTTGTTCCCAGGATGTAGGCTCCCTAATTACCTCTCTTATTGTTTCTCTTGCTGAGAAAAAAAAAAAACTTTTTAGTTTGAGTAAGTCCCATTTGTTGACAATGTGGCATTTTCAAATTCAGGATGTTCTTTATGTATATCTAGGTCAATTTTCATTTTTTTGGCACCCAGGGATGCTCAAACATTGAGTCACATAACCCAACCCTCTTTTGTATTTTATTTAGAGAAAAGGTCTCATTTGATTGCTTAAGGCCTTGGTAAGTTGCCAAGGCTGGCTTTGAACTCACAATCCTCCTGCCTCAGTCTCCCAAGCTTCAGGAATTACAGGAATGTACCACAGCTCCCTGCTAATTTTTAAATACTGACCATTTAAAGAATCTACTTTACTTTCTTGACAAGTTAGTGACTTTGTTTAATTGAATTTCTTTTTTTCCCCACACATAGATTCAGGGTCTTACTCTCAAGAAGGTATTTCTCAAACATCAGCCTGGACACTGTCAGAATTAAAAAGTACTGGGAGTGCATTTACAATTTAGTTTCCTGCACTATGCTGTTCCATAATTTGTTTCCAGTAGCTTTACTGTAGGTCCCCAAATTTTATATCACTTCAGATCTCCTGGTAAAGTTCTATGTGCAGCCTCTTCCCAGTGTGCAAAATTTGTATGCTAACATTCAGGAGCTTTCAACTCTCCAGAGAACATTACCTACGAGTTGGTACAAGGACTTTGTATATTTGGAAGATTTGTAGTAAATTCAGCATGAGAATTATATCAAAAGACAAAATAATAAAACTGAAAGAGCCTTCTGTTCCTGTGGAAAGTTCACGCTCTGTTTATTTTAAATAGGTTCTTAATAATGATGTGAACAGAACCATTCAGTTCATATGTTGTAATGCTTTCATGTTTAACTAGGTTTTGCCTAATTGATGATTTTTGGGGAATATCTATCTGATACTTAGATTCTCTTCTTTCTAATATTGCTATTTTTAAATTAAAAAAAAAAACAAGTCCATCATTTCACACACATAATTTTTCTGATGAAAACATTTGAATCTACTCTTTCATCTTTTTGACACATAATTTTGTTTTATTTGCTCTTCTTAGGTATACACAACAGTAGAGTATATTTTGACATATTATACATACATGGAGTTAACTTATTCTAACTAAGATTCCATTCTTGTGTTTATACATGATGTAGAGTTTCTCTGATTGTGTATTCATATATGAACACAGGAGAAGTTATGTCCAATTCATTCTACTGTCTTTCCTATTCCCATTCATCGTCCCTTCCCTTCATCCCCCTTTGTGTGATCCAGTGAACTTCTATTCTTCCCTTCCCCTTCCCTTCTTATTGTGTGTTAGTGTTCACATCTCAAACAGAACATTTGGCCTTTCGTTTTTGATTGCTTTATTTCACTTTGCATGATGATCTCCAAATCTATCCATTTACCAGCAAAAATCATCAAGTCATTTTTATTTATGACTGAGTAATATTCCATTATATATACCACATTTTCTTTATCAATTCATGTGTTGAAGGCCACTAGCTTGGTTCCATAGCTTAGCTATTGTAAATTGAGCTTCTATAAACATTGATGTGGCTGTTTCACTGTAATGTGCTAGTTTTAACTGCTTTTGATGTATAACAAGGAATGGTATAACTGTAAATCGTGGTTCCATTCCAAGATTTTTGAGAAATCTCCATACTGCTTTCCATAGTGGTTGTACTTATTTTCAGTGACACCAACAATGTATGAGTGTATCCTTTTCCCCACATCCTTGCCAACATTTATTGTTGCTTGATTTCTTGATTGTTGCCATTCTGACTGGAGTGAAATGAAATCTCAATGTATTTTTAATTAGAATTTCTCTGACCATCTTTTTCATATATTTGTTGACCAATTGCATTTATTATGTGAAGTGCCTGTTCAGTTCCTTTGCCCATTTATTGACTGGGTTATTTGTTTTTTTTTAGTGTTAAGTGTTTTTGAGTTCTTTATATGTCCTGGAGATCAGTCCTCTATCTGAGGTGCAAGTGGCAAATATTTTTCCTATTCTGTAGGCTCTCTATTCATGCTTTTGATTATTTCCTTGCTGTGGGGAAGATTTTGGTTTGATACCATCCCATTTATTGATTCTTGATTTTACTTCTTACACTGTAAGAGTCTTTTTGAGGAAGTCAGTTTCTAAGCTGACATGATGGAAATTTGGGCTTGCATAATTTTTCTACTAGGTGTAGGGTTTAGATCCAATGCTTACATCATTTATCCACTTTAAGCTGAGTTTTGTGCAAGGTGAGAAATAGGGGTTAAATTTTATTCTGCTGCATATAGATTTCTAGTTTTCTCAGCACCAGTAGTTGAAGAGGCTATCTTTTCTCCAATATATGTTTATGGTGCATTTGTGTCTTATGAGATAACTGTATGCTATTAAAAAAATCAATAGTTAAGCATGTCAAATTATTATAAAATGAAATTTAAAATCTTATTATGAAAATTAATTTACATCTAAAATTAGTCTTCCCAAGTTTCTTTGTCAGATCACAGAAATATAGAATTGGCATATTTGTGCCTATGATGGTCAGTGACTGTATTACAGTCAGTGATGGAGATCACTCATTTCTCTCTCAGAATATATGGGTTTTGAAGCAGGGTCTTTATATAACACTTACCTTCATGCAGTGCCTCAATAAACATTTGTTAAGGAAAAAATGATTAACATAACAATAAAATTCTGTGATCCAAAAAGTTGTTGATTAAGTCTTACTCTTCCTCCAATGACAGAATTAAAGTACTAAAAAGTTAGAAAAGTAATGACAAATTTATTTCCAAATCCTCTAAAGAGACAGAATTATAAGTTTAATTATTTTATTTCTGATTTTTCAAAACTGATTTTTCATAATTTCCTCCAGATAATTCGACTTAGACATGAAACTATATGAATCACACCAAAACCTCATTTATTTCCTTTTATAACCTGAAGGAAATCTCTTAGCCTTTTATAATTGATTATGAATGCTCATAAGTCTACTTTCAAATTCTACATTCAATCCTACAAATGAAAATTTGTTTCTAAAATGGAGAAGATAATATGCTCCATGAAAATACACAGATGGTGTTTGATAGCACCAGAAGAAAAAATGTATGTGAAAGTGTTTTCAAGTTATCAATTTTATTGTAAAGAAATTATTTCACAAAAGCATAGTTTGTGTTTATTTACTTAGAAAAAATGCATCGAATTTTAAGAAAACTGTAGGCTGAGGATGTAGTTCAGTTGTAGAACATT